CCCCAAAACCCCAAAACCCCAAAACCCCAAAACCCCATGCCAATGATTCCAAGTTGAAATTACCGAAGTTCAAATGACAAAATTTTAACATCAAAATAATATTTAGACTAGGCTTAAAAATGGGTTTTAGGGTTAATATATCCGGCTGCCAGAATATCTAGCCTGGTGTGTTAGCTTTAGAATAGCACTAACTCAAAATAATTATGAAATAAAATAAGAAATGCACATAAGATATAGTAGATTGTTATAGAGCAAGAAAGAGCCAGCAGAAAGGCAGTATAGAGGGATATGAAAAGTAGCTTAAATGCTCACAGAGGTGCTGTTTTATTATTGAGATTTATGAATCAGTATTAGAAACATTTTTAATGATACCTATGCTTCTAGGAAGCTTGTTTAAACTTTTCTCTTGAGCAGATTGCAATCTTCTGAAGATCTTCAATTTTGAACCTGCCTTCACCTCTTGGTTCTTCATTTTCAAAGATATTTCTATAAGAAAAGTTTAGTCTGAAGAAAATCATAAGGGCTTGGGTATTAGAAAAGAGCAGGAAATATAGTCTAGAAGAATGCTTACCAAGATTCTTCATTATTCTGAATGTTATTTGGAATGAATTCAGACTCATCATCAATTGGGATAGTGAATATTACATCAGTCCCTTTTCGTAGTGCAGAATGCAGGTGAATCTCTCCACCAATAGCCTCAACATAACGTTTGCTGACAGTTAGACCAATTCCAGTGCCGTTAGGGTTGAGACCTTTAGTGTCAGACACCATGCTGAACAGCTTGAATAATTTTTCCTGTTGCTCTTCACTAATTCCCATGCCTGTGTCCCTCACCTATATTTTCTGTTTAAACATATCCAAACAGTCAAATTCAAAATGTTAGCAAATTTAATGTGCCAATAAAGTTTACAATCAGAATAAGACGAAGCTGACAACAAATGTTTTAAAATTATATTGCAACAGGAAATGCCTAAATAGAAATAAAAAGTGTTAGATATCAGTCTCTGTGCCAACGAATGCACCTAGCCGAAGATAAGAACTAATCAGATAAATTATCTATTAAATTTTTTTTCAAAATGAGCCCGACCTTGAACTGAACAAACAGTTTTTCTAATTTTTCAACAATTTTGCACTCAATCTTTATGTACCCTCTGAATGTAAACTTGTAGGAGTTGGACACCAGATTCAGAATTATCTGCTTCAGTCTTGCTTTATCAGAGTGGATTAGCATGTTCTTGATATCTGGAGGTGCATCTAGTAAGAATTTGAGTCCTTTATGCTCACATTGCATAGTGAAGATGTCTTGGATTTCTTCAAGGATTTCTTGAATTGAGAATAGTTCTTTGAGAATTGTAAATGTTCCTGCCTCCATCTTTGCTAGGTTTAACACATCCTCAACGAGTGTGAGCAGTAACATTGAAGAATTTTTGCCTATTTTCACAAATTTGGATAATTCCTGAAAACTTTCATCAAAGACTATTTTGTTTCTTCCTTGCAGCTGAGAGAAGTAGGGGTGCCCAATCTTTTCGATTGTTTTAAAAAGAGCCAAATACAATATCAAAGGAGTTCGTAATCGAGTTCAAAGGGGTCCTGAATTCATGCGATGCACTTGTGAACATAATCTTTTGGCACTTTATGTTGTTCTTGGCCTCCTCCAGCTTGATTACGTCGGTGATGTCTACAAACACATGCATATAGGCTTCGGCGCCTTCCCACTCAACCATGAGGGTCTTAACGTTACAAGTTCTGCTGTCTGTGTCGTCAGCCTGTTCGATAAGGCTGTGTGGGTTGCACTCGATCTTGACATCGTTGTCGGTCATCGAGTCTTTAGAGTCAAGTTGCTGTTGCTGTGCCTTCAAGAACGCAGAGAGTTCGCGAGGCCCATCTTGATGGTTCTGCTTGTCTTCTTCCACAAAAGACACATCGATACTATTGAGTTCTTCGAGGTCTTTGCGAATTTTAGCATACTTGCTGGTGAACTCAATGTTGGTGAACCACTTGTCGGTGACTTTGGAAGGCCAGATGACTACACCGAAGGGGAGAATTTGCATGACTTTCTTCATTTCGGCGATGAGTTTTTTGTTTTTGAGGATTTCAGCGTACATACTTCTCATTTTTATTATTAATAAATAGCTGGATATTGTGAACCATAAGCAAGAAAAGATCAAACTGAAAATCATATCTGAGTTAGTGATTCCAAATGTCTTCCAAATTCCATATACCAAATGAATCATTGAGAGAGTGTGAATAATAGAATTTGCCTTCCATTTATTAGGGACCAATATCATTATTAAATGACTGAAGCATCAACTGGAAATATGAAACTCATCAAGGCGATAGTATCCTTTTTGAAATGTTTGAATATTTCACATGTAAGAGCTCACTCCAATCATTAAAGGAATGAAGTATAAGATATAAATCGGTTTGTACTGTAATACGATCAGTAGAACCAATAAAATTACAATAAAGACGCTTGCATTTATTGCAAGCTGAATCTTAGTTTCTCCTTTATCTTGTGAAACATTAGAAGCATTCATGATGACAATAATGCTACAAAGAAAGATTGCCACCCAGCAAGTAAGTTTGATGTATCTCTGATACTTTACTTTGATTGTTTCTTCAATAACATCGTTGATATATGAGTCTACTTGAATATTTGCCTAAATAAATAATCAGAATATCATTTAAAGCTTTATTATTTGTTGAGGTTAAAAATCTATATTTTCTCAACTTTAAATAAGTATAAAATTACACTCCAGCTTCAAACCCGAATGCATTTCAAAAAATCCGAAATTCTTCTAAGAAATATACTAAAATTTCAGATATCTAGTAAGCATTACAATGCCACCTTCTTCTAAAACTAAATGAGCCATGTCATTTAAGGTTCTACTGAGAAGGTTCACGAACTGATAATTTAGCCAAATTCGAGAAATAATTCTTTGATAAAAATTTCTCCCCTGACAGCCAACTTAATATTTTGCATTATGGTGACTAAGATATTTAAAATAACTAATTTTTCTAACTTAACACTCTTAAAAGAAGCATCTTAAAAGGAAAACATCTCTACTTCACTTCGACCTTACAATACTCATAGAAGTCTAAGAAAGAGAAATAAATCATACTTTAAAAGATTTCCTAATGTAATAGGTCCATTCTTTCAAGCATCCCCAAGACACCTCAAACAGAAGCGAGGCTTAGCCAAGAGCAAAGTAGAAAATTTAGTCTGTATTTGACACAGATATAAAAGCGGTTTATTCAATGAAAATTCATATAAAGACTTTTAGGTGAAAATAGACAAAGTCAAGGGGATATGAAAATGTAGACCCACAGGGCATATACTGAAGATTAGGGTAGTTTTAGATAGTAATAAACAATACCCACTTCAAGTAAAAATTATTATACCTCTTTATTTTAATGAAGGCATCTCCTTTAACTTAATTTTGCTATTCTAAAATCCATTGATGAAAATTGGAAAATTTCATAAATTTTCAACTATTAAAATTGACAAATATTGGAAGAATTTTATTTCCTCCTAACTAGTTGGTATCATGCCCTTTTGTTATTTATTTCAATTTTCACTTTTATCTCATATTGGTGTTCTATTTAGAGGAAAATTTTATCAAACAGAGTATATACTTTCAGTAAGTATGAGCTTCTTAGATCATTAACCCAGTGTCTTAAGATTATATCCAGGCTCCTTACCAAAATGTGGTAAGCCTATAAGAGACTAGCTTTCTATCGATATTGCCAGTTAGTATCCAAGTTGAAACAACGAACTGTCACAGTGAAAGAGTAGTGGAATAGTCATAGTTAAGATAAACTTAGGAAATTCATACTTACCTGAAAATTTCTTTGGTCCTCATCCTTCTTCTCATGGTTTCAACCCTTATGGAATGATTTATCAGCTATAAGATGATTATTGAAATGAAATTTTGGCGCGATAAGGGCTTTGTCATAATTTACCGTTTACTAATAATACGAGATGACCATCTCATACCTCAAAATCAGCCTTATAGAACTATTAGTTTAACCAAATTATCAGAAAAGTTCCTTGTTTTATTTAATTAAAGTTCTAACTTTGTGTAAAGATGTTCCTTTGTTAGCAATCTTTTAATAGACTTCTTACCTCTCATGTTTATTCAATTTTTTAGGTTGAAATTATATAATATTCTAACTATTTTCTCTTGTCAATTTATCTGCAACATCACGGGGTTTTGGGGTTTTGGGGTTTTGGGG